GATTCGGTTCCAGACTTCGGTCCGCAGTCATATTTCTCTCTCAGTGACACTGTGCCACAGTGGTATCTCCCATTTCTTCCTCAAGGCCATGGCCAATTGACAAGAGCTTTCTGGAGGCTGGTTAGCCAGTGACGGGTAAGATCCTCTCAGAGGGAAGCGGGATGCTGGCCGCCCCCAACGGCTTTCACTCTGGCAGAGGACAACCTAAGACAGGCACAGTCTTTCCATCCCAGTCTTGGCATGTACTTCATCTTTAAAAAATATAAAAAGAAAGGGGGACCTGTTGGGAGCCTGAGGCTCAGCATGTTGGTGGACTGAGTCTCAGCCGCCTCTCAAAAGCCGCCTCTCAAAACTGCTGACAGACTTAAGCTGGCAACTTTCCATTCTGCCTGCAGCCTTGGCCCAAAACCTTGGCAAGTGATAAATCAAGTCTTCTATTAAGTTAGTTTCAGTTCGGCCCTCGTGCTGTCTCTTAGTAACCCATAAGTGTTTGTTGTGGAGATTCACCTAGGTGACCCAAACTCCGGGTTGGATAAAAAATTAGGACCCCTGTGTTCTGACTTATGTGATTACTCATTCCTTGCTCCTTTGTTCTCATTCTCTACTTAAACTCGTGCTTGTGTTTCAATAAACGAGACTTGATCAGAATCCTGTCTTGTCTGCATTGCTCTTGTCCCTTGCCTCATCTACATCCCCACCCCCCAATCCAGGTACTTCGTGAAAGTTCTGCAGGTTGGAACCGAATCGCATTGCGGGGTAGTTACCCGCATCACAGTTTCCTGAAAGCCTCTGCTTCCTTATGTTCATGAACCAACCTTAACTCTTACAATCTTTTCATGACCTCTTCCACAATGGTCCCTGAGCTGTGGGTGGGTGAGGTTTAATATAGGAGTCCTGTCTAAGGACACACACACTGCAGTCTCATAATTCTCTAAAACTTAGTTTGCTGTGGCCTTCTGTGTGCATCTCACTACGTTGTATAAGGAAGCTTCACTGGTGAGAGTTGAGGGATGCACCAGTGTTCTCTCCACCCCCTACTCCTCTATATTCCTTGAGTTTTAGGTGTAGAGGTTTCACTGCAGATATGGTCCCTAGAGCTGAGAGTCTCTCAGATGTATATTTTCTATATTTGACCAGTTGCAGAAGTCTGCAGTAGTCCCCATCTGTTGCAAAAAGAAGCTTCTTTGATGAGTGCTGTACGCTATACTTGTCTGTAAATATAAGGATCTATAGTTAGCATATGGTAAGAAATTTCATTTGTCTAGAGATATGGCAGAGATAGAGTTTTCTCTAGGATTTATGACCTCTACAGTCATGTGTATTGGACTTTAGTTACAGTGCCACCCATGAGTTCACTTCCATTGAGAGGACTTTAGGATCAAATAGATGGCTGTTGATTATCCCCCAGATAACAGTGCCACTACTGAACATTGTTCAGTCACCATATGTGTATATCTTAAGGGGTTCTCAAGTCAACACAATTCCCTCTGTCTTCCCAGGCTACCCATGATCCATTCATCTCACCTGTCTCTCCCCATCCAGCCTCCTTCCTTCTTCTCCAGTATCAGAGTTGGATTGCACCCCCTCATGTGCTGTTGGTCAGGGAGCCCCTAGGGGCCTCCAAAATGATAAATGCTATTGCCCCTGATGTTGGTTGCACACCAGAAGTAGCCGGTAAGACCCTGTTGCTGAAGACACTGTATAAGTTGATCATGGGTAAAGGAAAACAAAACAAAACAAAACAAAAAACAAAAAAATCCAAAAACCTTGCCAATACTGAGTGGCTGGCCTTCATAGTGCCAGGAAGTGCTCTCCAGAATTGCTAGGGGAGAATGGTCCTCAATATTTCTGCTTCATGACAGAACTCCCACATGTTATTGATATGCCAAGCAAGATGTACCTGCTGGTGCCACAGGGGCTGGACTAGTATATGTACAACTGAAAAGATTCCAATTGGATTTATGGCCCACTCCTTGTGGAAGAAAATAGGGGATGAGGTATAAGTATGATTAAAATGCACTGTATGAAATGCACAAACATTCATATATATATAGTTTTAAAGACCAAGATTTTATACAATATACATGCATTTACTTCACCAAAGCATCAAGATAAACTGAGAAAATGTATGTCTGTGTGAGTGCAAGTGTACAAGTGCCACTCAGTGCCTGCAATAGTCGGAGGACAACCTCTGGTGCCAGTCCTTACCGTCTGCTTTGTTTGAGACAGAATTGTTTTGTTCTCTAGTCTATAAGCCAGGGTAGCTAGCAGCTGGGCCTCTGGCAATTCTCTTGTCTCTGTCTTCATCTTCTGGTAGGGACAGAGGAAGTTTTGAATAAAAGTTGATTCATACTCAGTGATCTACTTAATGTCAAGGCAGCATGAAATGTAGGACTTTATGAAATGAAAATTAGCAATAAAGTGGAATGAATCTTGTGATCAAAGATCACTGCTTCTACCATCCTTCATCACAGCATTTGAGACAAAACCAGTTGGAACGTGTCTGAAGTAGGAATTATGAGATATTAAATTCATACCTGGAAGTTATTCAAACTTCTTTTCAGCCACAGTTTTCTATGTAATAATGTAATTTTATGTTTTTCACTATAAATTTGTTTGTATCTTAAATTAATCACTACAAAATACTAATAAAATAGGTGATCATTGAATAAAAGAATCCAAAGTAGTCCATTTAAACTTTTTGGTTTTGTATGTTTTAACCTGACATATCAAATAAATTTAGAACCAATATTTATCTGAGATAGTTTGGTGTCATATATGCTATAACTATTAAGTGAAAGTTCACCATAATTGCATAAAAGGGAAAATAGATCACTTGAGATTGATAGTTCTAGTAAATTAGTTGTGTTTGTGTGAAATGAACTTCTCACTTTTAACTTGAGAATGAAGTAATGATCCCAGGTGATTTGAATCCACACTTGAATACAGAACCTCTCCAGAGACTGATCCTCAGTGATAAACTGTGATAATGGGGGACAGCTTATGAGTTATAAACTCACACCTTTGGCTTTCTTACTTTACAATGAATTCTTATTCCAAGAGATAAGATTTTGGCCTTGTAGGCAAAATAAAAAGATTTTATTCTTTTAAATATATCTCTATATATTAACCATAGTTGAGAAATAAGTCAAGCTGGAATCAGGCTATCATTCTGCAAAAGGAAAATAAAGAACTCCTGTGGAATCCACTAATATTTCCATAGATAAATTCTTCTGAATAATCAGGCATAACCTCAGTTCTCAAAGATTCCTTTTCATTAGTCCACTGACATGGTCTTCTAAAATATATAAATTTAGCACTCAGTCAAAATGCTAATAAATTGACCAGTGCTTTCATGGCTTACTGTCAGTGAATACCTTCTGAAAAGAACTACTTTGATCACTGACTGAATGCTCAAGGATCACCAGGAATGGACAACATGAAGATTTGAAGCCAAAAAAAATCTCAGGAGGTGAGAGTCAACCTTCACCTGTCAGGTGAACCTGGGTAAACTTCTTAACATTTTAGGTGACCATTTATTCATTCACTCAGTTGAAACTCATAATATTTCATTCAAGCATGCTCAGTTAGAAAACACATTTCGGTTAGGAAAGGATTTGGTGTGTCTAAATAAATAAGCACTAAATAAAAGTTGCAAATGTTACTTATATTTCATATATTTATAGTAATATTTTAAATGAACAAGGATTTCAATAGTAGTATTTAAAATATTTAACACATTTGTAATAGATACTTCCTCCTATGGTGCATTGTGGGCTTTTTCTTTTTCTTCCCATTTCCAACAAGTAAATTAAGAGACAGGGTAGATGACACAAAGAAACAGTCTTCCAGAAAGACGGTCATTTACTCACATGAACTCATAGCAATGGTGACAGCATGTACAAGTCTATGCAAGTGAAACCAAACAAAATCCCAGCGTAGACACGGGGAAATGGGTAAGAAATCCCAACCCAACCTAAGGAACTTTTGGCAATTGATGACTGCTGGGAGGGGGAAAGACAGTGTGTCACAGGGATGGGGATCTTGGTGGGTCCAGTGAATTGATTCACATTGAAGAACAGTAGGGGACAAAAATAATATTCTACAGGAATTTTATATATATATGGTTTCATTAAACTGGTCTGGGGAGTGGTGGGAGGTGGGGAGAGGAGAGTGAATCTAAATGACATAAAACCACCTTGAATGAAAATTGCAAAAATTCAAAAAAAATGCATAATTATTAACACAGGCCCTTGCTTAACTGATAGATTTTATGATCAATGTCACCAATGAAGAATTTCTTTAACTTATTGTTAGAAAACTGCAAATCTGCCTTGCTGTCTGCCCCACATTTCCCTGTGCTCTTAATTGCATTGCAACCTTCCATGTATAGAGTACAGGAACTAAATGGAATAGACTGAGTTCACCGTACCTGTGTAGATATCCAATTCTACTCCTCCTTATGTAAACTTAAATTACCTACTGTATTCAAAATAAATTTTCTCAAATGCAAAATGGACACAATAAATGTATTCCATACTATTTAATGGAAATAAAAATAGACCTATATACAGATTTGAATCCTAGGGGCTGGTGATTTAGTAAGCATTCACTAAACCTTACCAAATTTTTCAGTCCTCATTACATTAGTCTCATATATTTTGACACTTTGTTATGGTTATAATTATTTGATACTTTCATGGGTCTCACATTTATAAATCTTTAGCTTTATAGACACTTGGGTATATATTACTACATGTAAATGTAAAGAGAAAACATACATAATTTTAAGCTAATTTCTAGCATTCCCATTTTGAAATTTTAAGACCTGATTATTGTATAACAATATATTAGAGTCAAGAACAAAACTACAATTGTTACTCCCAATTTTTCTTCCATAGTATTTTTGTTATTATACATTTTAATGAAAAAAATGTCATATTAATAAGTTTTTTCATATATTCCTCCCAGTTTTATCCTGGCAGCAGCTGCACAGTCCCATGGCTCTCCTGGGGGATAAAAACCTCACTGCAGTGACAGAGTTCATTTTACTTGGCTTAACAGATGACCCAGTCCTTCGAGTCATCCTCTTCATCATCATCTTGTGCATCTACCTGGTGACCATATCTGGAAACCTCAGCACAATCCTGCTAATCAGAATCTCTCCTCAGCTCCATCACCCCATGTACTTTTTTCTGAGTCACTTGGCCTTGGCTGACATAGGCTATTCATCGTCTGTCACACCCAATATGCTTGTCAACTTCCTGATGGAGATAAATACCATCTCCTATCTTGGATGTATCATTCAGCTTAGCTCAGTTTCTTTCTTTGGGACACTTGAGTGTTTCCTTCTGGCTGTCATGGCTTATGATCGATTTGTGGCAATCTGTAATCCATTGATTTATTCAACCAAAATGTCCACACAAGTCTGTGTACAGTTACTTGTGGGATCTTATTTAAGTGGTTTACTTAGTGTTTCCTCCTGTACCTTTTCCTTCTTTTCTTTTGTCTTCTGTGGACCAAATATAATCAATCATTTCTTCTGTGATTTTACTCCCTTAGTTGAACTCTCCTGTTCTGATGTCAGGGTCCCCACAACTGTTGCCTCATTTTCTGCAGGCGTTGCTGCTATGATCACAGTGTTTGTCATAGCCATCTCCTACACCTACATTCTCATCACCATCCTGAAGATGCGCTCTGCTGAGGGCCGCCAGAAGGCCTTCTCCACATGCACCTCCCACCTCACTGCAGTCACTCTCTTCTATGGGACTGTCACATTCATTTATGTGATGCCCAATTCCAACTACTCCGCTGACCAGAACAAGGTGGTATCTGTGTTCTACATGGTAGTGATACCCATGTTGAATCCCCTCATCTACAGTCTGAGGAATAATGAAATTAAAGGAGCTTTGAAGAAACAACTTGTAAAGAAAAGATTGTCTTAGAGTAGTTTGTTATTTTGTAGGGTTTGATTTGGTAATGATGTCATATTGACAAAATAATGAAAGGACAATGATTGTCTATGGTTGAAATATGTCTTCTGATAAATATTTATCCAGGAGTGGAATCTTTTACTAAATGTACAGGGTGGATATTTGATAACAAATAGCAAATTTTAGGTTCATGTTTACATTTAACAAATTTCATATATTATCAAGAATATAAATTTTCCCCATAAATACCATACCTGAAAATTCTTTTTTACCTGTATTCATACGTTTAAATGTAGTTGCCTGGCATAAATTTAGTCTCTTGAGTGTAGAGTTGTTCAAGTCCATATACGTTTTCAAATGCTGCTCACCATAAAATATGAATAGTAACTACATCTTCAACCAATTATAATCTGAGAGAACATACTAAGTGGAACAGGAAATGAAACTGCTTAAGATGTTTTTATTATAGTAAGGTCATCTGTTGGGATGGGATTTGTACAGCCGTAAGAGTTAGATCTGTATTCCTGTTCTATGACTCCACATTGGCTGAATGCAGGGGAGTCCAAGAAATAAAAAATGAGTTGCCCTTGGATAACAAGTTGCTTGAGAAACATGTTTTTTCCAATTTATTTAATTATTTTTAAACAAAGTATGCTTATTGAGAAGTTTTTTTGAAAAATAGCACTATAACCGAAGGGTGATCAGAGCTTCCTCAGAGACACAGGCAAGCAAGATAGGCATCTTCACAGGGAAGAAATGTGGAAGGCTGGTGCACGGAGAGGGAGTTTGGATGTCCACATCACCCTCTGGAAGGGGGGAGCAGTCACACTGCACTTTTGGTGGACTTCTCAGTGCAGCTCAGGGAGAGGTTGAGCACAGGTACTTGCCTGGCAATTGTAGCTACACTTCAAGATGAGGACCGTCTGCTAATTAAAGACTAAGACCCAGAATCTCATAATATGATCTCCAAAATGTCCATGCTACAACTTAAAACCACCAAAGCAAGAACAACAACAAACTCACAGAGGAAATGTCTGAATGATGGCATGAGTAAGAGGGATCTGCTGTTGAATTAGCTGACAGGATTTGAAGGCATCTATCAAGACTTCATTAGGGGTCAGGTGTGGTGGTGCACTCCTTTAATCCCAGCCCTTGGGAGGCAGAGGCAGGTGGATCTTTGTGAGTTCAGGATCTGCTGTTGAATTAGCTGACAGGATTTGAAGGCATCTATCAAGATTTCATTAGGGGTCAGGTGTGGTGGTGCACTCCTTTAGTCCCAGCCCTTGGGAGGCAGAGGCAGGTGGATCTTTGTGAGTTCAAGGCCTGCCTGGTCTACATAGTGAGTTCCATGAGAGCTGGAGCTACAGGGAGACCCTGTCCCAAAAAGGCAAACAACAACAACAACAACAGCAACAAAAAACTTCATTAGGTAAGCACTGTTTTTCCAAACATTGGTGAAAGAAAAGAACAGTGAATATCTAGTGGTGTGCTGGACAGAGGTGTTACACAGCTAACTACCTTCTGTTAACAAACTGAATGAGATGCCGATGGCAAGATGAATCCCCATGCCACCCTACTAACAGATTCAGGAAGGTTTATACAAACTTTACTTTAAAAAACCCAATGAAATCTAGAGAAAGCATATCTTTTAAAATTTTTATATTGAGCTTTTGTAATTTTATACAACAGTTCTTAATCAAATTTAGGCCCCCTCACCCATTGTAGGAAACCAGGATGGAATGCTTTAGGGTGATATGGATCTGAAACTTTAAGATCAAGCTACAATCCCCGCTGAAGGAAGGGATGCTGAAAACATCCCAGTCTCGAGAACACTGCAGGCCTAGCAGGAGAACAGTGGCTGGGTCAAAAGTTTAAGCTCCTTGCTCTGTGGGAAAGCATCTTGGGCCACAGCCCTTAGCTCACCTCCTTTTTCTCAACAAATAAATCTCAGCTTTCACTAGCTAAAAGAATAGGCCAGGTTAAAGGTTTACTCATGAACTAAAAGCTAAAAGTTTACTTTGCCATTTGTCCTAAGAAAGAAAGCACTGTGGCCAATAAATTACCAGATAGACACTGGTAACCCTGAGTGAAAGTTCAAGCATCTTTCTTTATCAACCGCCCCTGTCTGGTGCCAACTAAAAGCTATATGCCCTGTTTCTTGTCTAATTGTGCCCTAAAATCTTTGTATGTAAATGCCGATCTCCATGTGACTGCCAGTTCCTTGTAATGTATAAAAACCTCTGTAAATTTTTAATGAAGAGCTTGTTAAAAGACCCACAAGTCCCAGAGTTTTCACTCTGCACCTCCTGTCCATTGTCTCAGGGTGGGGTCTTCCACAGGGTGGCCTCCACACTCCATCCATAGCCCGCATCCCCCATGTATTCTGCCATACAAAATGTTAAGCCTCATCTAGTCAAGAAGTTTTTTACATTAATATTATTTTCTTCATAATAGCAAATTTTAGAAGAAAATGAAAATGAACAAATGGGTAAATAATTATCATTCATACGATATAAGATTTTCAAGCAATAAAAAAGAAAGAACAACAACCACAGTGAGATATTACTTCATACCCATTAGGACAACTGCTATCAAAATACCAGAAAATAACAAACGCTGCCTAGGATGCACACAAATTGTAACTTTGTGCACTGTAAATGGGGTTATAAAATGCTTCCATTACTTTGGAAAAATTAAGATTTTTTTCATTTAAAAATTTTATTTATTAGTACTATTATTTTAAAAGAAATAATTTATTGAGAATTTCATACATGCATATAAGGTGTTTTGATCAAATCCATGCCCACTCATTTCCCTCCAACTCCTCCCATATCGCCCCATCACATTTTTCTGATAACTTCATGTGCTCTTTCTTCTTTGATTTATTTTTACGGGCCTTTTTGATACTCTAATGTTGCCCCTCTGATGAGGTAGCCCTAAAATCTTTTAAGGATTAGATAAAAGCTACCAAATATTTTCAACATTTTTGGACCTTGGAACAGAGTATGTTGCTAAGAGGCCCAAGGACATTGTGAGTTTTAGCCAAGAAATTGGCAACTTTACTTTGGGGTCTTTTTATCTTAACTGCCTAGCCAATTCCTACACCCTATTCTTATCACACCATCCTCTGAAGAGGTTACCCAAACTGCCAATAGGGGATTGGGACACAGACTGCTCTGGCTTCTTCCAGCTGAACAGGGTTGCAGGGTGAGACAATTGGAGTACCCTTCAGTGGGTCTATCTAAAAGACTCCCAAATTGCATAACTCTTGTCTTTAGGCAGAAAAGAAAGTCTTTGAATAGTGAATAAGAGATGTGAAGGAGAGGCAAAACAAGAGTAATTAGCATTATAGGTTCTGGACAGGGAACTAGAAAAAAGTCAGAACAGGGCAATTTTCAAGTGTTCAAATGAGAGCCCACTGGATTTCTTGACAAGGACTTCCAAAAGCATCCCTTTATTGGGTTCCTCCCCATTTTTCTTTTGTCTTCCAAGGCTGGAGTCTAGAGTGATGGATTCAGGATTTGCTTTCAGGTATTTTGATAGCTTTTGGAGTGGTTAGAATCAGTGTCAGTTCCCTCTCAAAGGCTTCTAGATAGGGAGAGAAAACAAATTTATCCATCATTTTAGAACAATAGCGTGTTGTCTCCCTTAGCTATAGGTGGGCTTTACAGTATGGGAGACTAAGACTTGAAGTCTTACATCTGAGCAGCAGCTTCTAGTTAGGAACAAAATCATCAATGAGAAATAATTGTCTAAATAACTTTTTATGTATATTTAAGCCTTATGTCTGGGAAGTATAATCCCTTGAACTCTTAAAGAAATATACTGATGATTTACTCTTTGCTTATACCTTCTTTTTGGGTGTTTAGGACCATACAGATGGCAGAAACACATCAATTTATTTTCACACTTAGGGTCATTTGAGGATCTGTTCCTCAGGGGTCACATGGTCTTGGGAGGAGCCCCTGGCTACTATTTTTACCAGTTCATCTATGTGAAGATAAGTCAAAGGTCCTGCTCAACCAAGTAAGTAAGGCACTCAAGGAGTTATATCCCATAATTCACTGTTTCTCATAAATGTAGCTTTGCTTTACATTGACAATTCTTTGCCATTCATTCTTATTGTTGAGAAACAGATATTGACCATTGGTAGTTTTCTTATTTTGTTGACACAGAGATATTCATTTGTCACTTTTAAATTAGAAATTATGGATTGTCTATTTTAAGGCATTAATAATCAGTTGCAAATTTACCTATTTTTTATGATCAATACATAGTATTATTTAAAACAAGAATAAAATGAGGTGGAATGTTTTTAAATGAAGAAATGGTGAGTATTGTGAAGTTTATGTCAGTTGTCTAGTGTTCCATAGATTGTCATTGACAGGGATCTAGAAAAAAGTCAGAACAGGGCAATTTTCAAATGTTCATATGAGAGTCCATTGGAGTTTCTTGACAAGGGCTTCAAAAAGCATCCCTCTATTGGGTTCTTCCTCATTTTTCTTTTGCCTTCCAAGGCTAGACCCATTATCTTGGAAGAATGGCTGGCTACTCAGGTGAGGGTCCAGTGACCCTGCTTGGCACTCCTTTAATGAATGAGCACAACCATCAACAATCCCAATTGTGACTATGTTTATCAATCAGGCTCAGCTGAAGTCGTGATGATGGTCCTTATTTCATGCAGAAGGGACTGCCTTATAGCATCATCTTATTAAAAGGACCTATAATTTAAACGGATTTGGTGCAAGAGCCACATATGAGGGAGAACATATATCATTTCTTTTTCTGAGTCTGTATTAGTTCACTTAGTATAACAGTTTCTAAATCCATCCATTTACCTTCAAATTTCATGATTTCATCTTTCTTTACTGTTGAATAAACACCATTGTGTAAATATACCACATTTTTGTTAACCACTCATCAACTTAGGTTGCTTCCATCTTTTAGCTATTGTGAAAAGAGCAACAACAAACATGGCTGTACAAGTTTCTCTACAATAGGATGAGTCCTTT